GCTCACAGGGGGCAGAGCCATTAGCCAATCCCAGCTGCAGCAGCGCGCTGGGGCTAGGTACCGGCGCCTGCAGCGTCAGCCCCGGAGCAGCACGCCACGAGAGAGAAGAGCTGGCACCTTCCCCGAGGCCTGGCAAGAACGGTTCAGAGCCTCTGGGGCAGGGGGTCTCCAGCAGCGTGGGGCGGACCATGGGCGACCAGGCCACAGCCCAGTCAGGACACCTCCCTCTCGTCGTCGGTCGTACCTCAGTTTCCTTGTTGCCCCTGAGGAGGCTACCGAGCGGCCACGCTCCAGAGCGGGGAGTGCGGAATGAGCCTCCAATAGAAGAAAGCAGGAGGTGTTGTGCCATGCGGAGCACCGCGCTCCAGCCACCGGGGAAAGCTGAGGCCGGCGCTCTCCCAACCAGCATGTGGGCCAGGATTCTGCAGCTACTGTTCCCTGCCCACGGCTCCCAGCCTCCTGGGGGGAAGAACCCGTCCCTTGCCAGGGGAGGCTACTGTCCTGGAGGTTACGCTCAAGGCCAATCGCTTCCTGTTCAGGGCTCCAGCCAGGCAACTCCCAGAGGGGGAGCGGTTAGCTCAGCCGCCAGCTTACCCCTGCCCCCTCCCCTCCGCGGCACAAGCTCCTGCCCCTGCAGCGTGTCTCTGACAGCCAAGCCCCTGGCTCAGTGCTCTCCGCAGCCCAGAGGCCTGGCCAATGCAGATCCCTTCTCTTTCGTTTCACTCCTGGGACAGTCCCCCACACGGAGGTTTACTCCAACCTCACCCGCCGGGCGGCCACGACGGAGCGGAGCAACCCGGCAGAGCACAGCAGGCGGCTGGGTCACTCCGTTTACTGCGGCTCCTGGTGCCGCGGTGAATGCAAAGGCCTCTGCCGCTCTGTGCCAGGCCCCATAATCCCCTTGGTCAGGGAAGGGATGCAACGCGGGTGGGGATAGTGTAGTCAATTAACAGATCAGCAAAAGCGTAGAGGTTAATGCTACAGACTACATGCATTCCCCCACCCCCTGCCAGTGTTTCTTAGCAAGCTGGCCAGCAGCCTGGCTCAGTACCGGCTCGCGCCGGGTCTGGGACCTACCCCTGCTGCAGCTCTGCATTTAGTGTATTGGGAGCCAGATGGGCAGGCAGCCCGGTTCAGCTCCAGCTTGTGCTGAGTCCAGGAGCTCAGCCCCTCTCCTGGACATGGGCCGCTGCCACCCTGCACTGCTGCCTCTGCATAAGAGGCAGCAGTGTGGGGTGAGTGGCAGCCAGTCCATGAGGGGAGCTGGTTTTTAAACTGGCTCCCCTCGCAGACCAGCTCCCGTCTGGCACCCCACTCTGCCTCTGACACAGGCACCAGCGTGGAGCGGCAGGGAACTCCTCGGGAGTGAGGCCGGAGGGACTATAGAATAGTCGAGTAACCGATAAGAATTCAGGAGGTTAATCGACTATTCGATTAATGGACTTCGAGGGATGGTCCTGCCTGGGACACGGGCATGGAGCAAAATCATGCTGCTCGCCGGGGCAGGTCCCGCATCCAGCTTGCCAGAGCTCCGGTCACGCTTAGCTAGCGCATCCTGCTAATTCTTCCCTTTCCCAGCCACTGCCCGGCGAAGCGCCTGTTCCAGCTTCCATGGCCGGAGCGTTGCCGCCTCCCCTGCGGAAAGCGAGGGATGGTCCTGCCTGGGACACGGGCATGGAGCAAAATCATGCTGCTCGCCGGGGCAGGTCCCGCATCCAGCTTGCCAGAGCTCCGGTCACGCTTAGCTAGCGCATCCTGCTAATTCTTCCCTTTCCCAGCCACTGCCCGGCGAAGCGCCTGTTCCAGCTTCCATGGCCGGAGCGTTGCCGCCTCCCCTGCGGAAAGGCCGAGCTGCTTATTCAGAACGGGGGACCGAAAACAGCTGTCTGGCGGGAAGGCTTCTGAAGCCTGAGGAACCGGTCCCGTGGGGAGGGGCTGGTTCTGCCCTGCAGAGATGGGAGGGGGAGGGGGAAAGCCTGGATCCCTCCCGTCACCGCGAGCCACACCTGAGCACCCAGCCTGCTAGACAAGCTGCCAACTGCAGAGCCCTGGGCCCTTTCCCAATCCAGGGAGCACCAGAAACCTCTCTTCACCCAGCCGGGGGAAACGCCGCCTCGCCCGCACAGACCAACCCCCTCCCCCTCCTTTCCCACGCCAGGCTGGGCACCTGCTCCCCTTGGGCAGGGCCAAGCAGCAGGCGACCGAAGGCAACAAGCAGCCCTGTGGCAACACGCCTGGCCCAGCCAGGGAACGGCCACTCGGCCCCGTCACTGCCCTGGTCGACTTGGCTGCGGGGAAAAGCCGAGCAGGCTCCCTGGGCACTGGAGAGGCTCGGAAGGGGCTCTGTAGAAAGCAGAACGGGAAGGTGCCTCCTGAGAGATCCTCCAGGAAGGAGGCAGCCGGTCACTTCCACAGGACACAGAGCAGCCAGGCAGCGGAGGTCAGCGGCGATCACACTGCTCCTGCCATCGCAAGGCAAGTCTCCCCAGATCCACATCCCTGTGCCAAAGGCTTTGGCAGGCTTCACGTCCACCCAGTGCACCCGGCACAACTGGGGCGCTGCGCCTCCCCCGCGGCAGCGTGGGCCCTGAGCGTTTGCCTTCCTGCACAGCACCTCTCAAAGGAGGGCTCTGCGGGGGCGGTGCCTTCCGTGCGCTGTACTGCTGAGTAAGAGCAGTCCCGCATTTCTAGCCCTCAGCTTTGCAGCACACACTCAGCCTATTTACAGGCCCATGGCCCCTGCCCACACAGCAGCTCAGCACAACTGAGCTGGAAGCCAGCACATGTAAGAGACGCTGATTTCACTCCAAGATTAGCATCCTTGTTGCCACAGTCACAGACCTTCATAGACAGGTGTAAGAGCTCCTGGCTATCCAGCAATACCCTGTCTGAAGGGATATGCCTTAGTTCTGCAGCCTGATGGTTCCCCTGAATGATCCTGGCAGGCCATTATTTAGGTCTAGATCACTGTTCCCGCTCATTTTTTTTTAAACTGTGTGGGGGATAAATTTTGTTGTGTGCACAGAAGCATACAAGAGTGTGCACCACCCATAGAAACAGCACACCTAACTGTGGGTGGCCATCGAATCTTTCCTGCACAAGCGCTCAGCTTACAGGGAACACTGCTCCAGTCCGCATGGATGGGACTGTCAGGGACCACAAATGCCTCCAAGCAGGTTGCCAAGACCCTGGCGAGTTTTGATGCCAACACACGTGGCAAACTGCCGGATGATTTCCAACTATTTGCTCCCTTCGGTCAGTGCCACACGTCCCCTCCTTGCCCGTCCCTCCTCTCCCACGAGCAAGGGGCAGGCAGCTCTCCTGTCACGACCCCCCCATTGCTGCTGAGCTCCTGCTCCCACCACAAGCCCCACCCGCCCCCCGAGGCTGGGAGCACATAGCCAGTCCACGGGGAAGCTGGTGCCAGCTGGGCGAGACCCGGGTGTGGAGAATAACCCTGTGCCAGCTAAGCTGGACCTCTGAGCCCAGCCCTGGGAGAGGTTTTCCCGGACGTGGGGCTGCCTGGCTGGGCAGCAGCACATAGCAAAGCAGGTCACCCCTTGCCCTTGTGCACGAGTTTAGCCAGGCTTGCAGTTTTGCCCTTAGAGGAAAGCTCAGCAGAGTTTTCTATAGACATTTCAATAAATCCTCCGGGGCCGGGGGGAGGAATTAGGGGCTCGGCCAAGCGCTCCAAAGTGTGCACATCCGCTCTCGTTTAAACAGTCCCAGGCAGCGCTGATCTAGCCAGACGGAGAGATCAGAGCAGGCTGCATAGTGGCGGTAGGAAAGGAGAGAAGAGGCCGCTGCCCTGGGCAGTGATAGGCTCGCGGCAGGGAGGAACCGTACAGCTTTACCCAAAACACAGAGTAAAAAGGTCAAGCTAAGTCCAGCCTCAGGAGCCTTTGCGGGGGGAAGAGGGGGCAGGGAGAACTGTAGCTGGGTTGCTTCATTATCAAGCGACCGGGTGCGTATCAGACAGGCTGTTTCCTCTCTGTCTGGTTCCTCTCCAGCCCTGTTGCAGCCCTCAGAGGGGGATCGTGGCAGCACTTCTGCCATACCAGGGAATAGGGATGTAAAGGGTTAACTGGTTAGCACTGTCTTACTGGCAGGCTTACTGCGGTAACTGGTTAACCAGTGTCCGGCCTGCCCGGGCCCACCCCCCGCAATGTCGTGCAGTGGGCCGGTTAACGGATCAAACATATAGTTTAACCAGGTAACATTTAAAATAGGATTTTACATCCCTACCGGGGAAGATCCCAGGAACCCAGCTGCCCCCTCCCACCAAC